CAACAAATGATGACACACACTGCCTTCTGACTGGGGGCTGCAAACCAGTTCTGGGGTCCGTGAAAAAGTTTAGAGAATAGTGTAAATAAAGTCAAAGTCAATAAATAAGTAAACATAAAAAATTATGTAAATAAATAATTCCTCTAACAGTACATTACTATGAGTAGACATTTTTATTTCATTTAAACTGAATATTTTCCAAATAATATTTTACACACATTTATAGTATACATTTTTTACAGTATACAGTCTTTATACAGGAAACTATATAGATGACTGTTCAAAATGAGGATGGGGTCCTCACACGAGAATGATGATATTCAGGCCTCTAAAAGACAGATCTGTACCTGTGTGCAATGGCAGGCTTGTGTCCGTCCTTCAGGTTGGGTATGTCCTCATGTAAATACGCCAAGCCGCGCACAAACGTTTGCGCTATCAGGCACAGCTCATTCCAGGACACAACATTAGCCTTCAGGAAGTCCGTCAACGAGCCCTGAGTGTACACACACACACACACACACACACACGATATCATCAACAGGACTCAGTCTCTGTCAGTTGTGCAACATAGTAAGGTCATGTGACAGTAATGTAGCATGCTACTGTTTAACGTCACCATCAAATCAAAACTAATCATTCTTATTTTTTTATGTATCGCAATGTTTATCGTTAATGATTTATCCGTGAACAATTATTTTTTTAATTCATGTGCCTTGTAATCTTTAATCAAAAACATAAACCTCCCCTTTCCCTCGCAACATCTCATCGCAACAAATTATCAAAACAACAACAAGCCAATCAGTTCCCGATGAACAAAATCAAGTCCCTCCATAAATTTTTTCTCCTTCCAGAAGTAGTTTCACTCAGATATACTTCCCAATAGGGAAGAAAAGATCACAATTTCCATTTCATACAAAATATAAAACATTTATCATTGTATACTGTGTACTACACATTTGTTAAATATTAGGGATTAAACCTTGTACAGTATGCAGTAATCACTGTACACTAATATCTATTGTGAGTGTAGCCGATGACAAACACTTACATGATGATCTTCACAGGTGTGTGTGTGTGTGTGTGTTCATGTACCTCCTCATGGTACGCTGTGATGAGCCAGAGCTCTATATCCACTCCGCTTCCTCTTTTTTCTGCTCCGATGAAGTGAAGGATATTTTCATGCTTCATTCCACTCACACTATAAATCTCATATTCATTCTGCCATGACTGCTTATTCTGAGAGAGATCACAAACAAAAACATGCAAAATTACCCACATTCAAAGTCATTGTAAAATAGTCAATATGCACAATAACTTAGTTCTTGAAGTGGACCAGCACTTCTACATTTTAATCTGTAGCGGACCCTCACTTTATTACTTCTCACATGTTGCCAGTACTCTGACTGCCCACACCGAAACATAGAATCAGGGCCAGGCTATTCATTAATTGTACACATCGTGAGTTCAGACCTTTTATGTCCTGTACGAACTGAACGAACCAATTATCTGAGTAATATAAAAAAAAAAAAGTGTTTCATTTTGCATGAATGGCGCGCAGATCCCCGTAGGGGCGTTCACGCTCCAAAAGTGATAAGATTTCCACGAGCCGTCCCTTTCGCAAAGCGGGTGATCTAATGTGCAAACCATTTGAATTCTATTGAGAATGTAGTAAAACGCTATGGAGAAAGTCAAACATGATCTAAAACATCCACATATACTAAAGACTGATGAAAAGAGGGGAAAACATCATCCTGCACTAACATAAATTACAACACTTTTAAAACTACTCATGGCCAGCTTTATTAGAATTTATTGCGTTGTATTGTATTTATTGTGGTATATTTTGATTAACTTGTTTTATGATAGATAAATGTAATTAAGGGAATGCAATTTTCATTAAAGATTTATATTACAATTGTGGCATGTTGTAGAAATTGTTAATGAATGTGATGGATGCTATTTTTTTTTTTATAATAAATGTAGATAAAGAAAGGAAAAATATAACAGTGGGCTAAGAATTGTAATGGGGAACCATCCATGGTCCAATTTTTTTTAAAAGTTGTTTAAAATAATTTCAACATAAGTGAGTGGAACCAGTTTATCTTATCTATTTCAGTCCAAATGAACAGCAGTATAGCACATGCTGAATGTAACTGTTACATCTGTCAGCTGCTGTACCCTTAAGAACCAGCAGATGGCAGCCACGTCCCTCAATGTCTCCATAGAGTCTGTTAATTCCAGACTCCATTTCCCAGAACCCACTGCTTATTAGTTTACTGGTTTCAGCTGTGTCTTGTTAATCTTATCATTGCCATGTCTATTTAAATGCCTTTTGCCTTAATTCAATATGAAGTCTTGTTTGTTTGTTTTCGGTTAACATTCTCCGTCAGAATTTCAAGCAGTTCTTGTGTTCCTAAAGTTTATCTCCGCCTGAGTCTTGGATTCCTTGTTCCTGTCTGCACTTCATGGATTGTATGTGTGTTTGGAATGATTACATGTGATTGACTCTCTGCCTTTTATGGACTGTAAACTTGGATTATATTTGTTATATACTTTGCGTTTGGATTCTCACTTTCTCTGCTGTTTTACCACAACCACCAAATCATGAAAGTAACTTATTTAGTATACAAATTTAATGGACAAGTGATTAGGAAAGGCCTGAAAGACATTACTAACTACTAGACAAAACACCCCAGCATTGTGTTGAATCAACAACTGGCCATTGATTTGAATAAGTCTTCTCCCCACTGCTCTCCTTCCCACTGCTCTCTCTCCACTGCTCTCTCCCCACTGCTCTCCTCCCCACTGCTCTCCTCCCCACTGCTCTTCTCCCCACTGCTCTCCTCCCCACTGCTCTCCTCCCCACTGCTCTCCTCCCCACTGCTCTTCTCCCCACTGCTCTCCTCCCCACTGCTCTACTCCCCACTGCTCTTCTCCCCACTGCTCTTCTCCCCACTGCTCTTCTCCCCACTGCTCTTCTCCCCACTGCACTACTCCCCACTGCTCTTCTCCCCACTGCTCTCCTCTCCACTGCTCTTCTCCCCACTGCTCTTCTCCCCACTGTTCTTCACCCACTGCTCTTCTCTCCACTGCTCTTCTCCCCACTGGTCTTCTCCCCACTGCTCTTCTCCCCACTGTTCTTCACCCACTGCTCTTCTCCCCACTGCTCTTCTCCCCACTGCTCTTCTCCCCACTGCTCTTCTCCCCACTGCTCTTCGCCCACTGTTCTTCTCCCCACTGCTCTTCACCCACTGCTCTTCTCCCCACTGCTCTTCACCCCACTGCTCTTCTCCCCTCTGCTCTTCTCCCCACTGCTCTTCACCCACTGCTCTATTCCCCACTGCTCTTCACCCCACTGCTCTTCACCCACTGCTCTATTCCCCACTGCTCTTCACCCACTGCTCTATTCCCCACTGCTCTATTCCCCACTGCTCTTCTCCCCACTGCTCTTCTCCCCACTGCTCTTCTCCCCACTGCTCTTCTCCCCACTGCTCTTCACCCACTGCTCTATTCCCCACTGCTCTTCTCCCCACTGCTCTTCACCCACTGCTCTATTCCCCACTGCTCTTCACCCACTGCTCTATTCCCCACTGCTCTATTCCCCACTGCTCTTCTCCCCACTGCTCTTCACCCACTGTTCTATTCCCCACTGCTCTTCTCCCCACTGCTCTATTCCCCACTGCTCTTCTCCCCACTGCTCTTCTCCCCACTGCTCTTCTCCCCACTGCTCTATTCCCCACTGCTCTTCTCCCCACTGCTCTTCTCCCCACTGCTCTATTCCCCACTGCTCTTCTCCCCACTGCTCTTCTCCCCACTGCTCTTCACCCACTGCTCTTCACCCACTGCTCTATTCCCTACTGCTCTTCTCCCCACTGCTCTTCTCCCCACTGCTCTATTCCCCACTGCTCTTCTCCCCACTGCTCTTCTCCCCACTGCTCTTCTCCCCACTGCTCTTCTCCCCACTGCTCTATTCCCCACTGCTCTTCTCCCCACTGCTCTTCACCCACTGCTCTATTCCCCACTGCTCTTCTCCCCACTGCTCTATTCCCCACTGCTCTTCTCCCCACTGCTCTTCTCCCCACTGCTCTTCTCCCCACTGCTCTTCTCCCCACTGCTCTATTCCCCACTGCTCTCCTCCCCACTGCTCTATTCCCCACTGCTCTTCTCCCCACTGCTCTCCTCCCCACTGCCCTTCACCCACTGCTCTCCTCCCCACTGCTCTCCTCCCCACTGCTCTATTCCCCACTGCTCTTCTCCCCACTGCTCTTCTCCCCACTGCTCTCCTCCCCACTGCTCTATTCCCCACTGCTCTCCTCCCCACTGCTCTATTCCCCACTGCTCTTCTCCCCACTGCTCTTCTCCCCATTGCTCTTCACCCACTGCTCTTCACCCACTGCTCTTCACCCACTGCTCTATTCCCCACTGCTCTTCACCCACTGCTCTATTCCCCACTGCTCTTCACCCACTGCTCTATTCCCCACTGCTCTTCTCCCCACTGCTCTTCTCCCCACTGCTCTTCTCCCCACTGCTCTTCTCCCCACTGCTCTATTCCCCACTGCTCTCCTCCCCACTGCTCTATTCCCCACTGCTCTTCTCCCCACTGCTCGCTCTCCCCACTGCTCTATTCCCCACTGCTCTTCTCCCCACTGCTCTTCACCCACTGCTCTATTCCCCACTGCTCTTCACCCACTGCTCTATTCCCCACTGCTCTTCTCCCCACTGCTCTTCTCCCCACTGCTCTCCTCCCCACTGCTCTCCTCCCCACTGCTCTCTCCCCACTGCTCTTCTCCCCACTGCTCTATTCCCCACTGCTCTTCACCCACTGCTCTATTCCCCACTGCTCTTCTCCCCACTGCTCTCCTCCCCACTGCTCTCCTCCCCACTGCTCTCCTCCCCACTGCTCTCCTCCCCACTGCTCTATTCCCCACTGCTCTTCTCCCCACTGCTCTCTCTCCCCAATGCTCTTCTCCCCACTGCTCTATTCCCCACTGCTCTTCTCCCCACTGCTCTATTCCCCACTGCTCTATTCCCCACTGCTCTTCTCCCCACTGCTCTTCACCCACTGCTCTATTCCCCACTGCTCTTCTCCCCACTGCTCTCCTCCCCACTGCTCTCCTCCCAACTGCTCTTCTCCCCACTGCTCTCTCCCCACTGCTCTCCTCCCCACTGCTCTCTCCCCACTGCTCTATTCCCCACTGCTCTTCTCCCCACTGCTCTTCTCCCCACTGCTCTTCTCCCCACTGCTCTCCTCCCCACTGCTCTATTCCCCACTGCTCTTCTCCCCACTGCTCTTCTCCCCACTGCTCTATTCCCCACTGCTCTTCTCCCCACTGCTCTCCTCCCCACTGCTCTTCTCCCCACTGCTCTTCTCCCCACTGCTCTTCACCCACTGTTCTTCTCCCCACTGCTCTACTCCCCACTGCTCTTCACCCACTGCTCTATTCCCCACTGCTCTTCTCCCCACTACTCTTCACCCACTGCTCTATTCCCCACTGTTCTTCTCCCCACTGCTCTTCTCCCCACTGCTATTCTCCCCACTGCTCTTCTCCCCACTGCTCTTCACCCACTGCTCTTCTCCCCAATGCTCTTCACCCACTGCTCTATTCCCCACTGCTCTTCTCCCCACTGCTCTTCTCCCCACTGCTCTTCACCCACTGCTCTTCACCCACTGCTCTATTCCCCACTGCTCTTCTCCCCACTGCTCTTTAGCCACTGCTCTATTCCCCACTGCTCTTCTCCCCACTGCTCTTCTCCCCACTGCTCTTCTCCCACTGTTCTTCTCCCCACTGATCTTCTCCCAACTAGGGCTGTGTTGAAAAAATCGATTCACCAATTCTGAATCGATTTTGATATTCATTTCTAAAGATCGATCCGTAACTCAGAGGATCGATTTAATAATAGGCTTACATTTTCCCCGTGAACTTTAACTTGCCGCGACTGGGAGATCCCTGTATGCGCATTGAAAGGCTTTCACTCAGGGCGCACATTGTTACGACAACGGGCTTTGAGTGAGTCATTAAACCGTTCATTCAACGAACACGTTCAAAAAAGCTGATTCATTAAAAGAGATGTAATGAAACAAGGTGTTAATTATTTTTAACCGAGTTCCACTTTTCAAGGCTCAGCTGAGCAGCAATGCGTCGCATGGGTAACGCTGAAGCTGATGCTTCACTTATTAGAGACCAATATGGCATTGATTCAATGCGTGACTCGCTGATTTTATTTCCCCGCGGCTT